CATCACATGGCCATATATTAGCATTAGCTAGCACTTCCAGTATAATGTTGAAAACGAGTGGTAAGAGGGGATGTTCTTGTCTTGTTGATCTTAGTGAGAAAGCTTTTAGTTTCTCACCATTAAGTACAATATTAACTATGAGATCTTTTGGTATAGGTTCTTTATCCAGTTAAGGAAGTTCCCATCTACTCCTGCTTTGCTGAGAGTCCTTATCATGAGTGACTTAGATTTTGTGAAATGCTTTTTCTGCCTTTATGTGATTTTTCTCCTCATTTTTCTTTTTTAGCTAGTTGGTGAGATGGATATATTAATTGATTTTCAAATGTTGCATACCCGGGATAAATCCCACATGATTGTGGTGTGTAATCCCTTGTATCCATTGCTGGATTTGATTTGCTAATATTTTGTTGAGAATTTTTGCACCTGTGTTCACGAGAGATACAGATCTGTAGTTTTCTTGCAAGGTCTTTGTTTGGCTTTGGTATTAGTGTAATGAGTTCTGCTACTGTCTTCTAAAACAGATTGTAGAGAATTGGTGAAATTTCTTAAATGTTTGGTAGAATTCATCAGTGAGCCCATGTGGGCCCAATGTGTTTTAATGAAAACTTTCACTTTACAGAGATACTAACTTGGGAGGCAGGTGTGAATTTGAGGCCTTGAGTGACTGGGGCAGGCTTAGAAGAGTTACTTAAGTTCATTGAACTTACATTCCTGTTCTTTAAAATGGTGATAATACCACTTGCTTATGGTGGTATTGGAATGATATACAGCACCTAGCACTGTCCAGCCTATAGTGAGCAATTACTGGGAGCTACTTATTTATTTACCTATTGCTTACTTACTAACTAGACCAGACTGACATTGTGTGTTGAACTGTTGAAGACACCATTTCTTACATACCCTTGGAGGATGGGATAGATAGTTTCTGATTTTTCTTTTATCTCTCTCTTTCATAGTCTTTGTCTCCCTCCATCCCTCTCTTCCTTCCTTAAGGAAGGAAGGATTAATATATCCATATTTTGGATTAATATATCCACGTATATGGATTAATGCTGCTGCTGCTAAGTCACTTCAGTCGTATCCGACTCTGTGCGACCCCATAGATGGCAGCCCACCAGGCTCCCCCATCCCTGGGATTCTCCAGGCAAGAACACTGGGGTGGGTTGCCATTTCCTTCTCCAATGCATGAAAGTGAAAAGTGAAAGTGAAGTCGCTCAGTTGTGTCTGACTCTTCGCGACCCCATGGACTGCAGCCTACCAGGCTCCTCCGTCAATGGGATTTTCCAGACAAGAGTACTGGAGTGGGATGCCATTGCCTTAATATGGATTAATATATCCATATTAATCATTGTTTTTCAGTTGCTAAGTCGTGCCAGCTCTTTGCAATCCCTTGGATTGTAGCACACCAGGCTTCCCTGTCCTTCAGTCTCCTGGAGTTTGCTCAAACTCATGTCCATTGAGTTGGTGATACCATCCAACCATCTCATCCTCTGTCGTCCCCTTCTCTTGCACTCAATCTTTCCCAGCATTAGAGTCTTTTCCAATGAAAAATATATTAATCTTATGTTGTAGCTATTTTTCCTTTTTAAACTTGGAGGAAGAAAATTCATTACGGCACTTCAATAACCAACACAACTTTCGTATGTCTGATGGTCAGTGATACTGTATACGGAGTGCATTTAAATGTTGACCCCAGTGGGTCTCTGTAGAGTGCAGCTATCCCATCAGTTGATCAGAGTGTGTGCCCTGTGCATTGCTTTCTCTCTTCTTTGACCCTGGACTGACTTGTATAACTCATGACTGGAGCTGCAGCCTATATCGTGGGGGCGTGCCTTCTTTTGGACTCTGTTAGGACAGGGAACAGACACTCTTAAGGTGAAGCAGACTCGTCTTCAGTACAGAAAGTTAGTCGTTCAGTAGTGTCTGACTCTTTGCTGACCCCATGAACTGTAGCCTGCTAGGCTCCTCTGGTCTATGGGATTCTCCAGGCAAGAATACTGGAGTGGGTAGCTATTCCCTTCTACAGGGGATCTTCCCAACCCAGGGTTCAAACCTGGGTCTCCCCCATTTCAGGCAGATTCTTTACCATTTGAGGCACTGGGGAAGCCTGGTGCTGGGGGGATTCCTCTTCTGATTCCCTTCCTCTCTGGGCAAGGCCTTATCCTTTCATTTGTTGCCAGTGAGTTTTTTGTGGAGATGAGCAGTGTGGTGACTGAAGGAAGATCTTAATGGGTGATGGTGGTGTGTAAGGAGGAGGGTGGTAAGGAGAAGGGCAAATCAAGCAGACTGCAAGCCTTTTGCGGTTGTGTTCTGGGTGGAATTGCAGCTCAGTTAGAGCTTTACACATACATACAAAAATGGAACCGAGAAGTATTTTCATTTGTACTTCTTTTGTGATAACGGCACATTCATGGCAGGAGGCCGTGAAATCAGTTCAGAAGGGTAGCAAGTATGGGTAGCAATAGCCGCGGCGAGTCCTCAGGGTTAGGCAGGAGCAGGAGACTTCCTGGAGCTCTGGGGTGTGAAAGGCCCCTGATATCCCATGTGGCTGGTAAGGGCTGGAGGAGGGGTGGGGGCGCCCGCTCACACCCTTCGCCTCGCTCAGGGACTTCAGGGAGTCGCACGTCCAATACCTCCTGACTTGCTGCTATGACGTCTTCCTTCACCACCTTTCTTTCTCAGAAAATGGCTAGGCTCAGGAGAGCAATACAGAGGGTGGCAGTGATTATTTGAGAAGGTACATACTTCACTTCAGACCAGATAGCTGTTATCCGCCTAGATAACTTCTGTGAGTTCTGAAATAGACTTGGCACAGCAGGCAGGGTGTCTGCGTATAGCATAGCAGGAGGGATGAAGGATTGCCTGGTTTTGCATTTTAGACGGGGGCTGTAATCCTGGAGAGTATTTTTATTGTATGGAAGTCGGGAAGAACTCATGAAGTACATGCAGGTCTTTTATCTGGTTCCATTTGGAAGGTGGTGATTTAGAATGCTATATGTTCAAGTCCCAGTCCCCTCAGCTCATTGAGGACAACACCAACCTTACGGAGGTATGTGAGGTTTAAGTGTCGCTGACTCCTTATTTCTGGATGTCCCTCCCTATCGATTCAGTTAATGCGTGTCCCATCAGTGTAGCAGTCTCTTTCCCATGTTAGCTCCATACAGAAAGGTGCCCTATCACTGATCAGGGAGGGGACAGTTTTTTTCCTTTAAGCTTAATGATTCATCTAAGAAATATTTTTTGGCATCTTATACATGTGAGGCACTGTGATGGGTGCTGAGGATGCAAGGATGATAATCCACAGCTGTCAGGGAGGTCCCACTGGACTGGCAAAGACAGACTTATACACTGGTGGTTACAGCATAGAAAAGAAACAGCAGAAATGGGCAGAAAATTTATGGGAGGAAAGAGGAAGTGTCTGAGGATCTTCCTCAGTTTGGGGTGTTTCTTATAGGGATGGAGATAGCATGGAAGAGGAATTTGGGAAAAGGAAACAAGCTTGAGTGAAGACTTGGAGTTGAGAAACATTCTGTTTGGAGACCTTTAAGCCATTTGGGGTTCTTGGATGGGGGAGGTGTAAGGCTGGAGAAATAGGAAGGGGCTAGATCCAGAAAGGCCTTGCATGCCAGTTTAAGGAGCGCAGGCTTTATTCATAGGCTGGCAGTCCTCTTAGGGATGGGACATGCCTACAGGGATGAGAGGGGCAGGTCTTTGCATTTGGAATGACCATTTGGTTGAGGACTGTCTGCTAATGCAGGAGACATAAGAGATGCAAGTTCAGTCACTGGGTCACGAAGATCCCCTGGAGAAGGAAATGGCAACTCATTCCAGTATTCTTGCCTGGAAAATTCCGTGGACAGAGGAGCCTGGTGGGCTCCATGTGGTCGCAGAGAGTCGAACACAATTGACTGCACACACAGTGCAATGCAATGAGGACCATGCTGGGTTAGGTGGACCATGCTGGGTTAGGTGAACCATGCTTGCGTGGAAGGCAGCTTGGAGAGCTTGAGGCCAGAGGCTCCTTCTAGGAATATCCACAATTGTCTAGGGACAGAGACAGTGAAGGCTACAGGAAGTAGAGGTAGGAAGGAATGGATGGATTTCAGATTTAAGTTCTGATTGATTAGAGGAAGGGAGAATGAGGAAGCAGGAGACACGTATGATCAGGCCTTTACTTTTTCTTTCAGAGGCTCTGCTCGTATCCCACTTCTCTTGGGAGGGTCTTTCTGACCTCTCCCAAACTTTGCTGTATAACTCTGGCCTCAACTGTCTCTGCTTGTTCCTTCTTGGTTTTGTATGTTCTTAAGTTTGTTTTGCTTTCTGTAAGAAGAGGAAGCACTTAAAAGGTAGAATCTGCCTTTTATACTTTTTTGGGTGCAATTTTAGTTGTTTAATACCTATTAAACACCTATTAAATGTTGGACTTTACATAATTCATTTATCTCTGGTTTTCTTCTAAGAGGGGAAGGAAGAATTGAACACAGATGTCAGATGGGAGGTTTCTTCCATGCAGAAGAAAACATTTGTGACTTGTGTGTCTAAAAGGGAATTTAATCAAATACACGTCAAAATCATCCAAAAGGAGTTTAAGACTGGGGTTTTAGAAGAGTAGACTAGCTTTTTTTTGCCATTTAGCTCTAGAAACAACTTGGGCTTCCCGGGTGACTCAGGTGGTAAAGAGTCTGCATACAGTGCAGGAGACCCAGGTTCTATCCCTGGATCAGGAAGACCCCCTGGAGAAGGAAATGGCAGCCCACTCCAGTATTCTTGTCTGGAGATCCCGTCGACAGAGGAGCCTGGAGGGCTACAGTTCATGGTGTCGCAAGAGAGTTGGACACGACTAGTGACTAACAGTTTCACTTTTCACTTCTAGAAACAACTTACCTGGAAAGGCACCTCTGGTGGGTTGGCCATGGCTCATACATCCAGAACAATTCCTTTAATCGTACCACAGTTAACTGCTGTCTCTGAAGGGTTTGTGTTTGTGATTCCCTCTGCAGGTCCAGAGCCTGGTGGTGCCCAGTGTGAGCTGTCGCCCGTCAACGCCTCCCATCCGGTCCAGGCCTTGATGGAGAGCTTCACTGCTTTGTCGGGATGTGCCAGTAGGGGCACGGTGGGGCTGCCCCAGGAGGTGCACGTCCTGAACCTCCGTGCTGCCGACCAGGGGCCGGGCCAGCCGCAGAGAGAGGTAGGTGCGGTGCCAGCTTGCTACCCACTGCCCCTTGGCATTTGTCTTTACACTTCTCTGGATGTGGCGTCCTCTTCTTCCATTCTGGGTTTAACGAGGATGCTTGTGTATGAACATAAGTGGGGTGGAGGACACAAGGTACATGAGAGAGAGAGAAGGATTTCAATTAATTCAGAAGGATTGCTCTCTGAATTGGGCAACTCTAGGACTTCTCTCTAGAGAGCTTTCTCGGCTTTTCACTTTTCCTGCCCACCCCCCCGCCCCCATATTGGAAAGAATGTTTTTGAGAATTTTACTTCTAAAACATGGTTGTGAAAAAACAATGTTGCCATTTTTCTGTTATTGTAGAATGTCTTTCTCATCTCCTTCTGTGCTGTCTTTCTTCTTTCTTTACTTTGTCTTGCCTACTGCTCCTGCAGGATGTGTCAGGGAAATGGAAACACTCTGGGATAAGGATGGCAGAACCTTGTATTAATATTCTCATGAAAGCTCTGGGGTGGGTAGCTCCTTATGTTATCCAGGCAACTTCTCGAAGATGAAGATGGTCTTGGTGGTGGTGATGATGACCCAAGCTCATAGTGACTCAGTATTTCCTCTGTCCTCAGCACTGTTTGAACCACTCAGACACTTCTTCCAAGAAGTCCTATTACTGCCCTCAATTTATAGGTTATAGACAGGTGCAGTGACAACTCACTTGCCCAAGGTCATTATCGTAAGAGTGAAATAGTTTCCTCTGTCTTGTGGCTCTGAAATGACCCACATTGTGGATAATGGTCATGCTACTTCTTTGAAGATAACACGCAGTTGTCATTGTTTCTGTTTTTAAGCTTCTGTGTCAGAAATGTTATCACTAGGCTATTATTTCTCTGGGAAGAGAGAAACCACAATAAACCCCAATCCCAGTGATGTGTAGAAAAACTCATGCAGAGCAGAATTTATCTTTGAGCTTGTTTCTGATCAAGAAAGTTAATTTCCAGACCCATTTGTTTATGTGCCTCAACCACTCTTCATTGGGGGGGGGGGGGAGTAGGAATAGGGGAGGTGAGAAGGGAAAGCAAACTGATTTTAATCTTGTGAAAGTGTGTGGAGTTGGCTCATTTCAAAGACAAATCATCTAGCCTTCCCAGCTACATTGGAAATTATTGTTAATACTCTTGGTTGCTTGCCATTGTTGCTGCAGCACATATTTCAGGTCAGATTTCTTTATCCCAGTAATGCGTCTTTAATTTTTAACTTATGGGGGAGAATTTGTGGTGGGAGGGGAAGAAGTGGAGGAGGAAGTGCAGCTCATATGAGGTACTGCTGACTCCAGCAGTTCTTTAGCAGCAATAATTACTCATGTTATATATGCTGTCTCAGAAGAACCAAGAAAGAAAAAACAAGTCTGAGCTATCACAAAAGCAGCAACAGCAGAAATTCTGCATGTTAAATTGTGCGGTACTATTGTTGATTCTGAAAATAGATTCGCAGAAGACTATTGAAGCAAAAGAAAAATACCTCAAGGAATGATGGCAGAGCTCTCCCACACTTGTATTTACTGTGTTAGATAAAAATAGACATGGTTGTCCTGAAGATACATAAAATGAGCTGGCATCAAGGGACATCATATGCTCAGTGAGGAAGTAAAGAAAGAGGGCCTTTGGGGATAGTCTCTAAAACTTGGTTAAAAAATGTTTACTGTATGTGTGATTTAAGATTAGTGATTTGAAGATATTACTGAGACTAGGCAGCTGAGGGAAATTGCATTCTTCCCTTCTTTGGGGGACTTTAAGGAATTAGATGGTTGTGTTCTATCTTGTTAGAAGACAACATGTTGGGACATGTGATCTTTGGAAATTCTCTCTGGCTCTGAACTGCTCTCATAGGGTAGACCTGGAGTATTTTATGTCTACAGAGTGAGTGTCGAGGATAATCCAGAGCAGTAAGGCCCTGACAAAGAGACAACAAAGGAGAGTTTGTTTATGGACAGTAAGATGGAGGAGGAAAAATAAGTATCTCTTACCTTCTTCATGTGTGACTCTGGAAATTCATTACTGCAGCCATACGAATAGCTTTTAAAGATCATTTAGACCCAGCAATTCCATTCCTAAGTGTATATATTAGAGAAAAGAAAACATATGTCCATGTGAAAACTTGTCCATAAATGTTCATAGCAATATTATTCATAATAGCCAAAAAATGGGAACAATTTGCATGCCTGAATGCCCGTCAAAAGTGTTAACAACCTGAATGCCTGTCAATGGATGAATGGATAAATGAAATGTGATATGTGTATATCCATATGATGGAATGTTATCAGCAATAAAAATGAATGAAATACTGATACATGCCACAACGTGGATGAACCTTAAAAACATTATGCTAAGTGAAAGACACAAAAGACACATACTGTCTGATTCCATACATATGAAATGTCCATGGTAGACAAATTTATAGAGATAGAAAGTAAATTGGTGGTTGTTTAGGGCTGAAAGGCAAAAGAGAGAAATCAGGTACTGACTGACTATGAGTACAGAGTTTCTTTGAGGGGGAGAAAATGTTCCGAAATTGACTTGTAGTGATGGCTTCACAATTGTATATGGATATTACTAAACACCATTGATAAATGTGAACATACTAAAAGCCATGGAGTTGTACTTTAAATGGGTGAATTTTATGGGATGTGGATTTTATTTCAGTAAAGCTGTTAAAAAAATAATAATTTAGCCTGTCAGTATTCTAATTGCCTTAAATAAAAGTTACCTTAACTGTATCTATTTTATTTTTTTAACGCCAAGATTGCTTCCTCCTCCAACCTAAGCCCTTCCAACTCTTTCTGATGTTTTTAAAGATAACTTGATTTTTATACATATGCTATTTTATATGGTCTGTCCTAAAAACAACAGCCAGTTGATTATGGTGGTAATAATGGGAGGGAGGATCAGAGACAGCCTTTGTGCATGTTTCTACCAAATATTAAGGGCAAATATTTTTCAAGATGAAATGATAAATGTTGTTGCTTGTAAATTAGAAAAGAATGCCCTACTGGCTCCAAGCCATCATTGCTTTGACTACTATGACCGAGGTAGTTGTTTTTCATGCTGTCCTCCTTAAATGCAAGGGAATTACTAAATCAACGCCATCCTACCCGCCTCCTCCTGGCTTGTTATTGGTGCAGGATAAGCATTAAGATCTAGTATAAATCATCCGTTCTCTAACATTTTACCAGATTCTTATCTCCCAGGCACCTTAAGTTTCCTCAACTGAGGAGGGCCCTCTGCTTTTCCTCTGTGGAGGATAAAACAGCCTACACCTGAAAGTAATAACCGCAGCAGGTTGACAAGATTTGGGGAAACAGCTATACTTAAGTTAGATAAACAATTTTATAGGCCAGCAGAGAATTTGTATCAGAAGCATGCTTGCTACAGTGATTAATACAAAGCTATCTGTGGTGAAGCATGGTTTTGCTATTGACTTCCCTGCTGGATTCTCATCAGGACAACACAGACCTGTAGTTGTATTTTCATCTGAGACCACACCTCTCATTTGTAATCATCGACTTTGGAAATAGCAATCCTGGAAGTGAACAGGAAATTGGGAAGACTCTTTGGTGACAGAGGTGGGCAGAAGAAGGTAAACAGTTCTGAGAGATCAGTTTTGTCTTTTAGAATAAATGGTATATGTCATAGGTTTTGGGCTTCCGTGTCTCAGTGGTGAAGAATCCGCCTGCCAGTGCAGGAGACGTGGGTTGGATCCCTGGGTCAGGAAGTTTTGCTGGAGGAGGAGAGGGCAACCCCCTCCAGTATTCTTGCCTGGGAAATCCCATGGACAGAGGAGCCTGCTGTCCCTGGGGTTGCAAAAGAGTTGGACATGACTTAGCAACTAAACAACAACAAATCATAGGTTTCATCTTCCTGTGCCCTTTAACCTCAAAGTAAAATCTGCCCCCTGCACGCCTTCCCCCCGCCTCGCCCCCGCCACTCTTTCCCAATGACCCCATGCACCTGCCCCTGAGTTTGGTCCCTCTGGGTGTTTCCTGATTCCCAAGAAGGGTTGTAGCACTACTAAGAGGCTGCATTGACAGTGATATACTTTCATTAGTTGCTGGAATGGCAACAATTTGCTCCCTATCATCTAATTTTTATTGTGATCTGCTTTTTTTGTGGCAGTGCTTCTTTTCTATTTCCCGTTTGTCTAACTGCTTGCTTGTTATGAAAAGCCCTTAGTTAGCAGTATGTATTTGTATAACAGATTCTGGGGGTAATTATGGGTGTTTAAATTTATATATGTGTTTTGACATTAAAGAAGCAACTGCTAGTGGGCGTGCCATGCGAGTGGGATGGCTGTAGGGTGGAGTAAGGATCTGGGAGGATCCATTGTCGTGGGAAAGGGGCCAAGTTTAATAAATTTATCCTCATCCATCAGAGGGCTTCCCTGTTGGTTCAGACAGTAAAGAATCCACCTGCAATGCAGTAGACTGGATTTGATCCTTGGGTTAGGAAGTTCCCCTGGAGGAGGGCATGGCAACCCACTCCACTATCCTTGCCTGAAGAATCCCATGGGCAGAGGAGCCTGGCGGCCTACAGTCCATGGGGTTGCAAAGAGTCAGACACGACTGAGCGAATAAGCCCGCACACCTGTCAGAAAGCTCAGAACCCTCCATTCTTTTATGTATTATTGTTTCATTCCAAAAGGGATTTGAGATGGGCTTACAACAGACATACCAACAGTGTAAGCAGAAATGCAGAATGAGGACAAAGAAGTGAAATTTTTTAGAAAGATATAGTTTGATAGCCATGAGGGTTAATGTGATTGGCATGATTGAGTTTGAAATTTGGCTCCAGGCTTCTAGGCAGGCAGGGGCAAATGGGATGTGTAGTTAATCACACATGTGGCTCCAAGTCACTTTAATTTTGGACCTTCTTTGAGGACTGTGGCATAAAGTTGTTCCTTTCCTGTGTTTTTTGAGGGCAGGAAAAGACCATAGTTGAGAGAAAGAGAAGGAAGTGAACCTGTCTAAAATGCGAACTGTTCTGCTTGCCTCTTAATAGCTCCCTTCTGTGTGTCTATGCTTAGTCGTGTTTGATTCTTTGTGACCCTGTGGACTGTAGTCCGCCAGGCTTCTCTGTCCGTGGCATTTTCCAGGCAAGAATACTGGAGTGGGTTGCCATTTCTTTCTCTGGGGGGATTCTTCCCGACCCACGGATTGAACCTGAGTCTCTTGCATCTCCTGCATTGGCAGGTGATTTCTTTACCACGGTGCCACCTGGGAAGCCCTTCTAATTCATTACCCTTAGCTCCCTGAGGCCCCAGATAACAGTAAAAGCAATGATCGTGGTGATGGTGAAGTGCCTGCTGTGGGCCAGCCACCTGCCCAGCGCCTGTGTTGTCTCTGTCCGTCCTCACTGTCAGCCCGAAGGGAGGTTACACAGCAGACCCTGGATGTGCAGCCTCGCTCTGTTGGAGTCTACAGTCCAGGCTTTCCCCACAGTCCACTTTCCTTTCATATTTAGCTCTGACCTAGCTCTGGCTGTGAAACCGGCCATCCTGTTGCACTCACACCTGTTCCGTGAGCCAGCAGATCTCCCACGGAAAGTTTGCGTTTCCTGCATAGGCTTCTGATAGCTCTTTCCAATGCTCAGAGCTCCTTTGCTTCCCCTTTCTTGCGTCTTTGGGGGCAGTTCTGAGGGTGGTTTTGTGTGTAGCATTGTCTCCCTTTTCCTTTCTGGCTTAAAAGATTATCATGTCAAGTGTCAGTAATTAGAAAATGCGGGACTGGGCTTAGGAGCCCTTGCACTCTATGTGGCTGTTAATCCTGCACGAAATGCCAACCTCCCATCTGTTTTTCACAGTTGATCATTTTCCTCCCCCCAAATAAAGCTTTTAACTGCCTCCACAACAGTAACTCACCTGTCTTCTGCTAGTAATCCCTGACTTGTAACCAAACTTGCTTGACTTGTGTGGGAAGAAAACAAAACATTCAGGCACTCTTCCTGCTCTGAGTGAAGTACAGGAGATTCAGTATGTGGACTCTGCCATCTGATTTGACATCTTTTTCCTTTGAGGAATCTGGCAGTTTAGGAATTAAATTGGACATCCCTGCAGCAACCTACTTACCTATCTGTCTGTCATCTTTCCCCTGTTTCTGCAATATTAGGTGGACAACTTTTTTCTTTTTGGCCCCCACCTCCAGTTATTAAAATATGGACAGAACAGTGTAGGGGTTGGGGGAGCGGTTGGGTTTCTTACCTTCACCTATCACCACTGAAAGAATTGATAGAAAATTTCAAGACTTTTTTGGAGAGCACACATGTGGGAGCAGAAATATCAAATGAACACTAGCGAGCACATTAGGTACATTCCTACTCTTGTGAGGGGCATTTTCCCCTCTGCTGTTATTTGTGAATGACTTCCCAGTGCTACTCCTGTGTATATGCTGGGGGAAAAACCTCAAACAAACTCAAGGCTATTTATGTTTCAGAGATCTTATATGTAGCATGTGCTAAAATAAGCAGGCATCAAAGTAAACCCGTCACACACAGACACTGTATATTGGTGAAATTCAGTTACTAAACAAACACTTTCCATGTGTAAACACTGCCTGGTGTTTGTTTAAATGGAAGTTGTTTTGGAAGCCACCCCAGCCTAACAGGTAAAGTCATCTCTGAACTGGCTATTTCGTCACAGACCGACAGCAGATCTGTCAGAAAGTTACCCTGACCACAGTGGTCACGTGTCTAAAAAGACATTCCTTTTCCTTTTTTTTTTTTTTTATCTCTTTCCCTCTCCCTTTCTTCTCTCCTCTGTCCCTTCTTCTTTCCCTCTTTTCCCTCCTCCTTTCTTCCCCCATTCATTTGAGTGTTGCTGTGAAAATTATTTCATTTTAAGTTGAAAGACAACCAAACCTGGCTTTCACATAGAAGTGGAGGCCCTAAATGAATAGGACAGCCAGGTTATTTAAAGTGAGTTGCCCCTTCTCTTGAAGATACTCAGTTCCGGTTACATGATGACTCCCTGCTGGGCAGTATGAAGGTGCCAGGCCAGGACTGGACAGAGGAGCAGGGATGGGGCCAGCCAGGCAGCCAGACGCCCGGCTGCTATTTCAACAGAAGACAATGCAGGCCAGGTAGACCTGGCCTCGCTAGTCAACGATGGTTTCTAACACATTGCGGCAAGATGTTCAGTCTCAAGCTACAGCTAACTCTCAAATGAGAACTCTCCAGAAACCCAATCTTGGAATTTTAGAAAAAGGGAAAGCAGATTCAGAGCGATAATAGTGTTAATAAATATCAGGATTTAGCAAACCGATTAGGACACAAGAAGTGAAGAAGTTATAAGATACGCTGGCTAGCCGCGTGGCTTAAACCCTGCCGTTAACCATGGTGACGTCCAGATGCAGTGACGTAGCCCTCAGAAGGCACGCTCCCTGCCCCATCGAGGGACCGAGCCTGGTTGGATGCCGCCATTTTAGCATGAGGTAATGCCGGTTATGTTTTTTGCTGGCTGGGAGCTGACAGATTGAAAAATCCTCTCTTGTTATTGCCTCTTCCCCAGTCTGGAGGAGAGGCTGCCTTGACTCCTTCTGAAATTTGTCCAGCAGCAGCATTTTCCAACCGGTGCAGTCTTGGTCTTTGTGGAGGTTAGGGTTACGACCTCAACCCATACCCTTGTTGCCATGGTGACTGCTCTTGACTTTTAAAAAATTGTGTAATTTCCCCAAAATATTGTTAGGAAATGTTTCTAACGTTTTCTGGGAGTACCCTCCACATTTGAAAATGTGACTTTTTGCTTTTAGAACTCTTTGGGGAGTATTTTAAAAAAGCAATAGACCAAAGTAAAGAGCAGGTTTGCAAATCTGAGACCCAGATGTGCTGGTTGGGCAAATGCCCAGTTTGTGTGTGTTGACGAGTGTCCAGATATCCAACTTGTATTTTTTTCTTTCCATTGCTGATTTGCTCTCTTGACATTTTGTTTGAAATGTCAATTTACTGGCTAATACCTCTGACTTAAATACCCAAATTCTGCAGAAGTGTTTATTACTTTCAAGAGTCCCACTCTCCACTGTGTTTTTTTAAATATCTCTGTGAAAATGAGACACGTGTTTAATTACTCTCCTTTCCTTTCTCTCTCAGTGAAGAGGCTGTGTATGAACCTGGCCCTGCTGGTTGCCTCTCTGCACCATCTTGTTTCTTTTGCTTGTATATCCCACACTTTGAATGAGTGAGTCTGTGTTTCCTGCCTTCCTCTTCTTTCCTCTCTGTAGCCTGACTTCTGCTCTCCTGAATTTGTCTCTGGTGATTCCCTTTTGACCAACTCATGGGATGCTAGGACTGGAGAGATGCCCTCAAGACAACCTAGTTTTAACCACCTTCCAGGGCCAGGAAGTGAAACCATGGCTTATTCACTGTCAAACAAGAATTTGGTGTCAGGGCTGGACTGGACCCCAGGGACCCCAACTCCTGTTGCAGAGTTCTTTCTACCACCTCCCCCTTTCCACACTCCTTACCCCACCTCAGCTCCTTTTTCTGTGCCCCTTCTTCTAGCATCTCTCTTTGGGTTTCAGGATATTACCTTGGCTTGGTTCTGCTTCTACCTTTTCATATGTTTTTCTGTTTCTTTCCCAGCTTCTCGTTCTTTTTTCTCAGTGGTTTTGACTGAACTGTAGTCCTTGGCCCTGGTTTTCCCCTGTCTACTCTCCCTGAGGTGGCTTGTCTGTTCTCAGGATTTGGATTGTCACCTCCATGCCAACGACTCCCCAGACTCATGGCTTCTCAAGTGGAGCTCCAGTCTACTCTCCAAAGCACTGTACCTCTCACGTCTTACCTCAGACTCTCGGGTGCCTGAGGTGTGCTGTGGAGCAGTGGCTATCACCGTGGTTCTACCTGGTGTCAGATAGAGGGCTGACCTCAGCTCTGTCACTTTTCAAGCATGTGACTCTGGGTGAGTTACTTAATTCTCTGAGCCCCAGTTTCCTCTTCAGTAAAATAGAGATGATAGTGGCAATTCTTTAGAAGATTCACTGAGGATGGAGAGATGTCTCTATGGCCACCTTAGGGCTGGCATGTATGCTTAGCACATAAGAAACAATCAAATGCAAGCTATTTATCTTTAAAATTGACTGTAAGTACCTTCCAAAGCTGGTCTTCTCCTTACCCGCATGCTGGTTTATCAGTCTAGCTTCCTTGTCCCGTCCATGATACCACTACCATCTTGTCTTGGGACACTTTTTTCCACCTTTTTTTTTTTCAAATCACCTGTGTGTGTTTTCAGTGTATTTTTGTTTCATTTTGTTTTTTTTCCCTTGGCCACTCTGCACAGCATGTGGGATCTTAGTTCCCCAAACAGGGATTGAACCCAGGACCCCTGCAATGGATGGATGGAGTCTTAATCACTGGACCACCAGGGAAATCCTATGTCTTGGGACTTTTGAACCATCTCGGACTTACCTATTCACTGAAACCCTGTATTTGTTCATTCATGAAGTTTTATTGATTTTCCTCTGAAATTTCCCGAGTTTCTATGCTCCTCTCCACTGCCTTGCAGCTCCTTAACCAGTCTGCTGGGACTGGCCTAATAAGCTTTCAGTTCAGTTCAGTCGCTTAGTCATGTCCGACTCTGCTTTAGGCCCTGATTATTTCAGTCCAGCTTGTGGGCCTCTTCATTAAAATGATTTTTCTCTAAATAATGTTCTTATAATTGATTCATTTGTTCATTCATTTATAGACTTATTCAATGAGTTATTCATTGAGAACCTACTGTGCACTAGATAGACTCTCTGCTGAATTCCTCCTCATCGTTATGTCTTGAGCATTGCTGTGGGTTGAGGGAAAATCAGCTTAATACTGTGTGACAAATAATAGGACCATTATTTGTCCCCAGCAGCAGGAGTGGTAATTCTATATGCAGGAGAGGGAGGGATTCTCAGAAGAGAGCATTTGATGAAAGACTTCAAAGTCAAGTAGAAGTTACTGGGCTGAGGGGAAGGAAGGCTTCAACATGTGCAGAAGGAAGAGCAAAACCATGTGTGGAGGAAACTTCTTCCCTGTGCATGGTGTGGCTGATGTACATACAGATCAGGCAGTGGCAAACTATGGGCTTTGGGCCCAATCCTTACTGTTGCCTATTTTTGTATGTATGTAATTTACACACTGTAAAATTCACCTGTTTAAAGCATGCAAGTCAATGACAGTATATTTATATATTTATAGTGCAACTATCATGACAATTGAAGTTTAAAACATTTTTAGTACCCCCAAAAGGAAACTTGGTGCCCATTAGCAATCATTCCTCATTCCCCATGCTCCCACCCACTAATCTACTTTCTTTATAGATTTGAAATTCTGGGCATTTTTCAAATAAATAGAATCACATAATATGGGTGACATTTATGACTCTTACTTAATGTAATGCACTTGAGGTTCATCCATACTGTGCATGTATTGGTTATTTCATTCCTTTTTATTTATGAATAGCATTCTGTTATATGGCTATACCACACCTTACTTATCCATTCATCAATCTGAAGCCTATTTTTGTAAGTAAAGTTTTTTTTTGGGGGAATAAGTAGAGTTTTATTGGCACATGAGAAGTGAAGTCGCTCAGTCGTGTCCAACTCTTTGCGACCCCATGGACTGTAGCCTACCAGGCTCCTCCGTCCATGGGATTCTCCAGGCAAGAATACTGGAGTGGGTTACCATTTCCTTCTCCAGGGGATCTTCCCAACCCAGGGATCAAACCCAGGTCTCCTACATTGGAGGCAGATGCTTTAACCTCTGAGCCACCATGCCCATTTGTTTACTTGTTGTCTGTGGCCTCTTCCTTGCCACAGTGGAAGACTTGAGTTAGGGTAACAAGAATAACAAAGCCCCAGATGTCTACAGTCTGGTCATTTTCAGATAAAGCTTGCCAACCCCTGGAATAGAGGATGCGGCAATGATGGGAGCAATGGTGGGGGTGGGCTGGGTCCTGGAAGTGGAAGATGAGACTGGAAAAGCCGCACAAATAAGGATTTGGACTTAATCCTATGGATCAGTGTATATGGTATGCAGAGCCCCTGTATCTGAATCCCTTGGAAATACTTAAGTGCATGTTCCTGAGCCTCACCCTGACCTTTCCGCTGAATCCATTGCCTTACAGCTTTTTCTTAATTCCACCTGAGCTGCTTTCTTAACTCTTCAAACATAACATGGGTCATGTTTGAAGCCCATGTGCTAAGTCTTAACTCATCAGCAAGTCTTTTCCTGGTTCCTTTATCCTCCTCCAACTCCTTCTTTACTAAAGGTAGCTCTGACTCCCTTGCCCCCCACAATCTGCACCTCCCCAGAGTATGGGATTATATGTTTTCTTGTCTTATTTGCTGCTGAATCATGTTTGTTAATCTTGTGTAGTCAGCTGGTGAGTGGACTTCTTAAGGTCAGGAACCAAGCTGGACTCTTTTGCATGGATTCTTTTTTTTTTTAACTTTTTATTTTGTATTGGCGTATAGCTGATTAACAATGTTGTGATAGTTTCAGGTGGACAGCAAAGGGACTCAGCCATGCATATATATGTATCCATTCTCCCCCAAACTCCCCTCCCATCCATGCCTTGCAGGGACTCTGGGTTTTTGCATGGTGCTGAGGACATTATTTAAAGTATCATCATAAGTCTGCCTAAATTCTTCCCTTTTTCCACTGTGTACTTTGGTTTGATTTAATTATATCAGTGGACTTGGTGTTTTGTCCCCAGTCCTTAACTGCTATAGCAGAGCAGGTATCGTCTGCTTTGTATTACTGCATCGATTTATTTTTCCTAATTAAATCTTGTGCATACATGCTGCATGCTCAGTTGTGTCTGATTCTTTGCAACCTCATGGACTGTAGCCTGCCAGGCCTGTCTGTCCATGGAATTTTCCATGGCAAGAATACTGGAGTGGATTGCTATTTCCTTCTCCATGGGATCTTCTCGACCCAGGGATCGAACCCATGTTTCTTGTGATTCCTGCACTGGCAGGCAGATTCTTTACCATTGAGCCACCTGGGCTACTGCGATTTTCTTTATTTTCTCCCGGTCTTTGTTTTAGACTTTTCTAGCCTGTTTCTGAGTTTTTTTTTTCTTTACTGTTATAGATTTTAGTCCTCTATTAGTACACCAGCTAGTCTTTTCCCTCAGCTGGGTAAAAGCTATAAATGGCTTTCGACTCCATGCTGCTCCCTTGGGTAGCTCATTTGATCTGAGTCGGGTTTGAAGTTGGGCCATTGAGAACGATCTGTCCTGATGCAGGGGGATGATTTCCAGCCAATTCTTCATGTTGCTGGAATTAATTAACCTTGATTCCTCCAATTGAAAGAAGGCATTTTACTTTACCCTATATCGTTAAATACTTAATAACTTG